TCCGTGTCCTGTCCCATGTCTCCGTGTCCTGTCCCATGTCTCCGTGTCCTGACCCATGTCTCCGTGTCCTGACCCATGTCTCCGTGTCCTGACCCATGTCTCCGTGTCCTGACCCACGTCTCCGTGTTGGTAGTAGCTGCCTGACTTCCAGGACCGCACATGCCGGGAAACCGTCAACAAAGGAAGTCCTCCACCCAGCTATTGCCTGGAGCCTGGTCTCCCCTGGGTCCTCCACCCAGCCCCCTTTGCCTCGCCATCCTTCCTTCTCCTTGGTGGGCAGCATGGGGCTGTCCCTGGCCTTCCTTCTCCTTGGGGGGCAGCATGGGGCTGTCCCTGGCCTTCCTTCTCCTTGGTGGGCAGCATGGGGCTGTCCCTGGCCTTCCTTCTCCTTGGTGGGCAGCATGGGGCTGTCCCTGGCCTTCCTTCTCCCTGGTGGGCAGCATGGGGCTGTCCCTGGCCTTCCTTCTCCTTGGGGGGCAGCATGGGGCTGTGGAAGTTCAGGAGGAACAGACGGCACCTGAAGAAGAACTCCGGGCTACCTCTGTACTGCAAGGGTTAAGTCCTCGTATGGAAGGACTGTCGTCGGGATTCCTGGGAAGACTCCTCCTACCAGGTTGCCAGCAATGTGTCTCCGCCCCCTGTGGAGTCAGCTTGGGGCTCAGGTGGTTGTGGGCCCATGTGTGACCTGCGCGACTTCCCTTTGGATTCTCCTACTACATGTGCTGAGCTGGCCAAACACACTGCTACCCGCCGCCGCAACTCTGCGTGTCTGCAAACCCCTGCACTGGGCCCCCCTCCACAGTACTGGGGCCCCCTCCAACTTCAGGGTACTGGTATTCCCTCCCAGACAATGGTGGACCATAGATGTGGGGAGGTATGGACGGCGGGCTCTGAGGCCTCATAGGGAGGGCTTTGTTACCTCTGTTCCTGCTAGCCCGATGCTCTTCTCCTTCTCCCTTTCACTCCTCATCTCGCCGTTCTCTATAGCGCCCTCCTCTGTAGCGCCCTCCCCTATAGCGCCCTCCTCTATAGCGCCCTCCTCTAGCGCCCTCCCCTGTAGCGCCCTCCTCTGTAGCGCCCTCCAAGGCACTGCTTCCAGTTCCATGGCCTCAGCCCAGGAAGAGGACCTGTCTCCTGACATCTGTTCGAAGCTGAAGGACACGCTGTGTGTGATTTGAAGTTCAATGCGGAAACCTGCCATGACGAGGGACTCACACGCACCTTTACAGCTGGACCGACGGCGGGATCTCATCTTCCGATCTATATCCTGGAGCTTGGTTGTCCCTTCAATGGTGGACAACGCCACGGCACTGGCTTCCCTCCACCATCAGGAAGGCATCAATGAGAAGCGGACCTAATCTTGGGTGTAACCTTACGTCATAGCCCTGCCCCCCATAACATCTAGATCCTGGAACATGGTCCCTTCCCCCGAAGTCTGACGTGGGGGACACTGGATGTGGACCTCCTGGTGTCTAGAGTCAGGTTTGTCCTGTGGATGCATTGGTGGCTTCCTCATTGCCGTCACTTCTTCCCGGCATGTCTCTGGTCCTCCACATGGATAAGGGAACCCTGAGACCTGAAGCCTCCTTTCTACATGTCATCGGTTGGCCGGGACCTCATAGTGGTCCGGCCTTCTATACTTTCCCCGCCGGTTCTGTGTTACTTGGCAGGAAGTATTTTGGATATGACTTGGGTCTCATTTCCGGGAGTCTTTCGGGAGAGCAGAATTCCTGCCTTGTTGCTTTACGTTGTTTGGCAGGACGACTTCCTTTTTATTCGTGTTGGAGGAGGTGCCTATCTGTCATGTGCTGTCCTGGAAGACTAACTCTGGATCCGGTGTACCGGTTCCAGGAGAAGAATGCGTAGAGTGTAGACGATGAACAATCGGGGAGGTTGTAATGGTACATTCTCTCCCCGCAGGGACAGGTTCTCTTTATGATGACATTAGAGGCTGCCAGATGCCTCCTCTTTGTCCATTACTTACAGCGCTGGGGCATAGAGTCTCCTATCTGAGCCCACCAGGTCACCCAGAGAGATCCTAGACATGCTCCATGCAATATACCCCTGGTGTCTCTGCGCATAGGAGCTCCTCCATCTCCAGCGGCTTTCTTTCACTCCGTAGCAGAGACAATTCATCTCGGAGTCTTGCTGGAGGAGTGTATTCTGGAGACCATTGGACCATGATGTCCCGGGATCCAGTCCTAGGTCCTGGAGGAGTGTATTCTGGAGACCATTGGACCATGATGTCCCGGGATCCAGTCCTAGGTGCTGCAGGAGTGTATTCTGGAGACCATTGGACCATGATGTCCCGGGATCCAGTCCTAGGTGCTGCAGGAGTGTATTCTGGAGACCATTGGAGCATGATGTCCCGGATCTAGTCCTAGGTGCTGCAGGAGTGTATTCTGGAGACCATTGGGCCATGATGTCCCGGGATCCAGTCCTAGGTGCTGCAGGAGTGTATTCTGGAGACCATTGGAGCATGATGTCCCGGATCTAGTCCTAGGTGCTGCAGGAGTGTATTCTGGAGACCATTGGAGCATGATGTCCCGGATCTAGTCCTAGGTGCTGCAGGAGTGTATTCTGGAGACCATTGGAGCATGATGTCCCGGATCTAGTCCTAGGTGCTGCAGGAGTGTATTCTGGAGACCATTGGAGCATGATGTCCCGGATCTAGTCCTAGGTGCTGCAGGAGTGTATTCTGGAGACCATTGGAGCATGATGTCCCGGATCTAGTCCTAGGTGCTGCAGGAGTGTATTCTGGAGACCATTGGAGCATGATGTCCCGGATCTAGTCCTAGGTGCTGCAGGAGTGTATTCTGGAGACCATTGGAGCATGATGTCCCGGATCTAGTCCTAGGTGCTGCAGGAGTGTATTCTGGAGACCATTGGAGCATGATGTCCCGGATCTAGTCCTAGGTGCTGCAGGAGTGTATTCTGGAGACCATTGGAGCATGATGTCCCGGATCTAGTCCTAGGTGCTGCAGGAGTGTATTCTGGAGACCATTGGAGCATGATGTCCCGGATCTAGTCCTAGGTGCTGCAGGAGTGTATTCTGGAGACCATTGGAGCATGATGTCCCGGATCTAGTCCTAGGTGCTGCAGGAGTGTATTCTGGAGACCATTGGAGCATGATGTCCCGGATCTAGTCCTAGGTGCTGCAGGAGTGTATTCTGGAGACCATTGGAGCATGATGTCCCGGATCTAGTCCTAGGTGCTGCAGGAGTGTATTCTGGAGACCATTGGAGCATGATGTCCCGGATCTAGTCCTAGGTGCTGCAGGAGTGTATTCTGGAGACCATTGGAGCATGATGTCCCGGATCTAGTCCTAGGTGCTGCAGGAGTGTATTCTGGAGACCATTGGAGCATGATGTCCCGGATCTAGTCCTAGGTGCTGCAGGAGTGTATTCTGGAGACCATTGGAGCATGATGTCCCGGATCTAGTCCTAGGTGCTGCAGGAGTGTATTCTGGAGACCATTGGAGCATGATGTCCCGGATCTAGTCCTAGGTGCTGCAGGAGTGTATTCTGGAGACCATTGGAGCATGATGTCCCGGATCTAGTCCTAGGTGCTGCAGGAGTGTATTCTGGAGACCATTGGAGCATGATGTCCCGGATCTAGTCCTAGGTGCTGCAGGAGTGTATTCTGGAGACCATTGGAGCATGATGTCCCGGATCTAGTCCTAGGTGCTGCAGGAGTGTATTCTGGAGACCATTGGAGCATGATGTCCCGGATCTAGTCCTAGGTGCTGCAGGAGTGTATTCTGGAGACCATTGGAGCATGATGTCCCGGATCTAGTCCTAGGTGCTGCAGGAGTGTATTCTGGAGACCATTGGAGCATGATGTCCCGGATCTAGTCCTAGGTGCTGCAGGAGTGTATTCTGGAGACCATTGGAGCATGATGTCCCGGATCTAGTCCTAGGTGCTGCAGGAGTGTATTCTGGAGACCATTGGAGCATGATGTCCCGGATCTAGTCCTAGGTGCTGCAGGAGTGTATTCTGGAGACCATTGGAGCATGATGTCCCGGATCTAGTCCTAGGTGCTGCAGGAGTGTATTCTGGAGACCATTGGAGCATGATGTCCCGGATCTAGTCCTAGGTGCTGCAGGAGTGTATTCTGGAGACCATTGGAGCATGATGTCCCGGATCTAGTCCTAGGTGCTGCAGGAGTGTATTCTGGAGACCATTGGAGCATGATGTCCCGGATCTAGTCCTAGGTGCTGCAGGAGTGTATTCTGGAGACCATTGGACCATGATGTCCCGGGATCCAGTCCTAGGTAGATGACCTTCCAGCTGAGCTCACCTCATGTCTCTCTCTCTCCCTTTTAGCTCCTGCTGTCTCCATCTTCTTCTCTCTGCTGCGATGAACTGACTGATGCGGAGAAGGTTCTGGCAGAGTGTCATCAGGAGAAGCCGATCACTTTCCACCAGTGCTTGACGCAGGACCAGCTTGACCGCTGCCAGAAGGTGGGGGAGGGGGTGTACGGTGAAGTGTTCCGAACGCTGCGGGGAAAGGAGCTTGTGGCTCTGAAGGTCAGTACTTATGTTCTGATTGGAGAGATGTATCTACAGGGTGACTCCGAAGAGGCGTGTCTAGAGCGGACACGTAGAGGGATGTACCTACAACTCTGCATACACATTACAGAACGGCAATTTCCTTTACATTCACCCTATGTAATATGAGAACTGACCTCGATATCCAGGGTGGTCTCAGAGTGTACAGGAAGTGAGGAGGCGGGGCACAGAGTGTACAGGAAGTGAGGAGGCAGGGCACAGAGTGTACAGGAAGTGAGGAGGCGTGGCACAGAGTGTACAGGAGGCGGGGCACAGAGTGTACAGAAAGTCAGGCGGCAGCTCCTCACAGTGTACAGGAAGTGAGGAAGCGGGGCACAGAGTGTACAGGAAGTGAGGCACAGAGTGTACAGGAAGTGAGGAGGCGGGGCACAGAGTGTACAGGGAGTGGAGGCGGGGCACAGTGTACAGGAAGTGAGGAGGCGGATCAGGAATGGGGACACAGTAATGATTTAATAAAGCCAGATCTTCTGTATAATTGGCGGATAGAAACCTGAAAAGTTTTTTTGGTGTGTTTGGATTTCTTCCTCGGCGTAGTTTTGTTGTCTGTTTCTTATCGTTACTAATCCCTCCGGTGCCACTTGCATCATGGCGTCCGCGTACTCCCCACAACTCCATCAAGCGTGACCTCTGCTCTAGAATACGCGGCCCCTGCTCTAGAATACGGGATAGGATGCGGCCTCCGAGCCGTTCGTTGGGGATAACGGGAGAGAAACACTTTATTTCTGGTTTCTTGTTGCAGATTATTCCCATTGAAGGATCTCAGAAGGTGAACGGAGAACATCAGAAAAGCTTTGCAGAAATTCTTCCAAAA